TTTCGTCTCGGGTGGGAGGAGTCAGCTGCACTCTTACCTGCTGGGTCCTGAAGGTTGAATCCCAAACCGCTTCCTAACCGCTAAAGCCTGGTTTATACTCAAAGTGAATAGGGCTTGGGATACGTGTTGCATTGTGGGACGTGGCGGCCATGTTGATGGCTACGGGAACGTTTACATAGCTCTGATACAACGTTGTTGAACGAACAGACGTAGAAGTAGAGAGATGTTAAAATCCCGAAAAGGATCTGGAATTTACCGGGACACGTTAAATAGAGAAGCCAGGGACCGGTATGTTGACAAAATCAGCATTATTAATAATTTGGATCCATGTGAAGTTCCAAACAATGAGTGGAGCACCGATGAGTGAGCGCCTATACTTCAAAACAGTTCCCAAGCTACAAGTCCTTGGAGTCTCATGTGCAGTTCATGAATGGATGGGTTCAGGAGCTGCAGATCATAAAGCCAGCAAACAGTGGGAACACAGTAATCCGTACGAAGGTAACTTAGTTAATGCAGCTGTTTTGTAGTACAAATTTTTGCTGTCAGCAGAGGGATAGCAACAGAAAGATGAATGAACCATAATGTTATCAAAGATCCTTTATATATATATATATATATATATATATATATATATATATATATATATATATATATATGCTAGTAACGGGTTGGACCCCCTTTTGCCTTCAGAACTGCCTCAATTCTTGGTGGCATAGATTCAACAAGGTGCTGGAAGCATTCCTCAGGGAGTTTGGTCCATATTGACATGATGGCATCACACAGTTGCCGCAGATTTGTCGGCTGCACATCCATGATGCGAATCTCCCGTTCCACCACATCCCAAAGATGCTCTATTGGATTGAGATCTGGTGACTGTGGAGGCCATTTGAGTACAGTGAACTCATTGTCATGTTCAAGAAACCATTCTGAGATGATTCCAGCTTTATGACATGGCGCATTATCCTGCTGAAAGTAGCCATCAGAAGTTGGGTACATTGTGGTCATAAAGGGATGGACATGGTCAGCAACAATACTCAGGTAGGCTGTGGCGTTGCAACGATGCTCAATTGGTACCAAGGGGCCCAAAGAGTGCCAAGAAAATATTCCCCACTCCATGACACCACCACCACCAGCCTGAACCGTTGATACAAGGCAGGATGGATCCATGCTTTCATGTTGTAGACGCCAAATTCTGACCCTACCATCCGAATGTCGCAGCAGAAATCGAGACTCATCAGACCAGGCAACGGTTTTCCAATCTTCTATTGTCCAATTTCCATGAGCTTGTGCAAATTGTAGCCTCAGTTTCCTGTTTTTAGCTGAAAGGAGTGGCACCCGGTGTGGTCTTCTGCTGCTGTAGCCCATCTGCCTCAAAGTTCCACGTACTGTGCGTTCAGAGATGCTCTTCTGCCCACCTTGGTTGTAACGGGTGGTTATTTGAGTCACTGTTGCCCTTCTATCAGCTCCAACCAGTCTGGCCATTCTCCTCTGACCTCTGGCATCAACAAGGCATTTCCGCCCACAGAACTGCCGCTCACTGGATGTTTTTTCTTTTTCGGACCATTCTCTGTAAACCCTAGAGATGGTTGTGCGTGAAAATCCCAGTAGATCAGCAGTTTCTGAAATACTCAGACCAGCCCTTCTGGCACCAACAATCATGCCACGTTCAAAGTCACTCAAATCACCTTTCTTCCCCATACTGATGCTCGCTTTGAACTGCAGGAGATTGTCTTGACCATGTCTACATGCCTAAATGCACTGAGTTGCCGCCATGTTATTGGCTGCTTATATATATATATATATATATATATATATATATATATATATATATATATATATATATATATATATATATATATATATATATATATATATATATATATATATATATATATATAGTGGTGTGAAAAAGTGTTTGCCCTCTTCCTCATTTCCTGTTTTTTTGCATGTTTCGGAACATCAAACCAATTTAAACAATAGTCAAGGACAACACAAGTAAACACAAAATGCAATTTGTAAATGAAGGTGTTTATTATTAAAGGAGAAAAAAAATCCAAACCATCATGGCCCTGTGTGAAAAAGTGATTGCCCGCCTCATTAAAATATACTATAACTGTGGTTTTTAACAGCTGAGTTAAATTTCTCTAGCCACAGCCAGGCCTGATTATTGCCACACCTGTTTTCAATCAAGACATCACTTAAATAGGAGCTGCCTGACACAGTAAAGTCCACGAAAACATCCTTAAAAGCTACCCATCATGCCAAACATCCAAAGAAATCCAGGAACAATTGAGAAAGAAAGTAATTAAAATCTATCAGTCTGGAAAGGGTTATAAATTTATTTCCAAAGCTCTGGGAATCCAGTGAACCACAGTGAGAGCCGTTATCCACAAATGGTGAAGACATGGAACAGTGGTGTACCTTCCCAGGAGTGGCCGGTCGCCCAAAATTACCCCAAGAGCACAGCGACGACTCATCCAAGAGGTCACAAAAGACCCCACAACAACGTCCAAAGAACTGCAGGCTTCACTTGCCTCAGTTAAGGTCAGCGTTCATGCCTCCACCATCAGAAAAAGACTGGGCAAAAATGGCCTGAATGGCAGAGTTCCAAGAAGAAAACCACTGCTGAGCAAAAAGAACATTAAAGCTCGTCTCAATTTTTCCTAAACACATCTTGATGATCCCCAAGACTTTTGGGAAAACATTCTGTGGACCGATGAAACAAAAGTGGAACTGTTTGGAAGGTGTGTGTCCCATTACATCTGGCATAAAAGGAATGCTGCATATCAGAAAAAAATAACAGTAAAATATGGAGGTGGTAGTGTGATGGTCTGGGGCTGATTTGCTGCATCAGGACCTGGAAGACTTGCTGTGATAAATGGAACTATGAATTCTGCTGTCTACCAAAAGATCCTGAAGGAGAATATCCGACCGTCTGTTTATGAACTCAGGCTGAAACGAACTTGGGTTCTGCAGCAGGACGATGATCCTAAACACACCAGCAAGTCCACCACTGAATGGCTGAAGAAAAACAAATGAAGACTTTGGAGTGGCCTAGCCAAAGTCCTGACCTGAATCCTATTGAGATGTTGTGGTATGACCTTAAAAAGGCCGTTCATGCTAGAAAACCCTCTAATGTAACTGAATTAGATCAATTCTGCAAAGATGAGTGGGCCGAAATTCCTCCAGAACGCAGTAAAAGAATGATCGCAAGTTATCGCAAACCCTTGGTCGCTGCTAAGGGCGGCCCAACCAGTTATTAGGTTTAGGGGGCAATCACTTTTTCTCACAGGGCCATGATGGTTTGGATTTTTTTTCTCCTTTAATAATAAACACCTTAATTTAAAAATTGCATTTTGTGTTTACTTGTGTTGTCCTTGACTATTGTTTAAATTAGTTTAATGTTCCGAAACACTTAAGTGTGACAAACATGCGGAAAAAACAGGAAATGAGGAAGGGGGCAAACACTTTTTCACACCACTGTATATATATATATATATATATATATATATATATATATATATATATATATATATATATATATATATATATATATATATATATATATATATATATATATATGATTACATTACAAGACGTGCTTGGATCAGCAAAACTTGTGTCGCTATGAGAGATGTTTTCTAAAAAACTGGGTCTTCAGGAGTTTTTTGAAAATGGAGAGGGATGTCCCTGCCCTTGTAGAGACTGGCGGTGTGTTCTACTGAAGAGGATGAAATGCTATATGAACCGTCTCTGGGCGCGCATTCAGGCATGTATGTGGCGTCGTGGTTGAAGGAAAGAAACACTGTAGGCTATAAAATAAAACCGTGCATCTTTAACTTACCAGAATGAAAATGCAGGGAACACACTCTCATTGACATCGGTCGTCTTACAGCCGCGATCCAAGCTAGCCGACGACTCTTTATCTCTGACACTTGGTCTCCATGGTTACGCCTCCAGGTAGGAAAGCGGTGGAAAGTTAACCCATTTTCTATGTTTTTCCCATGGCGATCATGTGTTGCGCTGTTACAGCCCACAATACAGCAACGGTTTACTGCTTTCCAATGTTTCTGCGTGCTAGGGTTCAAACACCCTGTCTCCTATATTCTGTGTGTATGTTTCTATTTATGTATTAGACCTTGAATTTGTTTACACAGTGTGAAAATTATATGGGAGGATGAAGAGAGCACATCCAGTTAGTCACAGTCAGAGAAACAGGACTACACTGGAAAACAGGCCAAGCTCCAACATCTAGAAACAAAGGTGTTGATGGCAGCAGCACAGCTGATATTTCTCTCCAGGATGGAGTCACAGCCAAACAGGAACAGACCAGATGAAGCTACTATGAGAAAAAGCAGAGAGAGCAGAACGTTAGAGATTGAACTAACAGATTCTGCAGTGGGAGAATAGAGATAGAATGAAGCAGAATGATGAAAAAGGGGTCCCTATGTCCTCCAGCAGTCTAAGCCTATAGCAGCAGAACTATAGACATCACAGGATGCGTTGCTCAACATTTTAGTTGTAGTTAACGAGCTCCATCAGGCTTGTTTACTTGTTTTTTTTATTTTTTATTATTATTATTATTTCTGATTAACTAGAACATAATGAAAGGGTTTAAATAACCAAAGATGGTTTTCAATCTCACTTTTTAATGTAAAAAGCGCATACAGTATTTAAAAAACGACTCCTATTTTAGGGGTGCTTTGAGTCAAATTAGGTTTGCTTCAGCTCCCCTAAAAATAGACTAAAAAGCCTTTGATCTGAGCCCTGAGAAGCTGAGTCCTCTCTGCTCAGTAAAGGCTGAGAACGTAGCGCCGGTTATAGGTCTGGACAAAGGTTCTGCTCCATGATGTTGGGGAAGGTTCAGACTGCATCATTTTCTGCTCACTGTGTGTTTTTGATGCTTCATTATGAAGAAATTGTGACTCAACGGCTTAAACGGCGACTTCCTGTCAGATGTTCCATTATTAGGACCCCAGAGGTGTGACAGCTGCTAGCGGATCTCTGAGGATGTGGGTCGGACCAGAACAGAACCTCCTCTCTCTCTCTAATTGACTTTCAGCTGAATGTTTGGAGAGTCTTCTCCCCTCAGGGGACCATTATCTGCTGCTTCTCATGCATTTCATTACATGCTGAAGTTCCCTCCTCCTCCTCCTCCTCTTCTTCCCCTCTGACCTCAGGCTGCCAAGAAGAGGAAGCTGTGGTTGAATCGGTGCAGTCACGCTTGGTGTTACTGCTCCTCGCTGTAGAACTGACTCAGAAACAAACAATCCTTCTCTCTCCAGCATGGCCTCCTCAGTCCTCCTCCTCCTCCTCCTGGACTCCACGCGCTCGCTGCCTCCTCCTCGGATCTCCTTCCTTCTCAGTAAGTCCTCAGCTGATTCATTTTGATCCGTTCTGATCTTCCGTCTGCTGTCAGGTTGTTCAGCTGTGAGCCAAGATGCTCATTTTGTGCAGAGAGTTGAGCTCAGAGAAGGTTCTCCAGCTTTCTCCTTTGGTTCTCATGTTTGCATCTGGGTCAGAACTTTTATCACTTCTTAATTGGCTGCAAAGCTGCAGAGCCTTAAGGTCCAAAGTTCTGAAAACATCTTGAGTTTCTGAGAATAAACAGAAACATGAGACAGATTGTGAGTCACACCATGACTGTGATCCAAAGCGGGAGATTCTGCTGTTACACCCAGTTTCACGGTCCGGTTCTGCTGTCATCTCACTTGGGAATATAGGCGTTCCCAGACTGTCATCGCAATGGAAGGAAAAACATTTTCATTTGATCCTTTAAGTTGTTTCACAATAAAAGAAACATTTTCATGAGTTAAAAGTCAAATTTATTTATCCAACTTTGTTGAGCTCATCTTGTTTATCGGTACCGGATCAGGTTTATCTGGTTCTGGATCAGGGGTCACCAACTTTTTTAAGGCTGAGGGCCACTTCAAGGGTACCGAGACCCATGAGCTGCAAGGGTTAGCGTTAGCCTAAACTTTGTTCATTATCAACATATTTTTATTGTTTCTTGTCATTTCTTAGTTTATTTAGACATTGTTATTTTGAAATCTCTATAAATGATTAAAAAGAAGAGCAAAAGAATAAAATAAAATTTCAAACTTAGCCCACTGGTGGGTTGTTCTTTATTTAGAGGACTCTGGGGGGCCCACATGTGGTCCTTGAGGGCACCGCCTTGGTGACCCCTGGTCTAGAGTCTGATTCAGATCTGTGAAGTTGGTGGGAAGTTTTCTGCATCCCTTCCTAATAAGCACTGGGTCACAGTGGGAAGGAACAACTTGCTCTTAACAGGAAGAAACTGGCAGAACCAGAACCAGGCTCAGCAAGAGGAGCTGATGATTCTGGATCCATCGTTTGGATCCTTCCTCTGCTGCCTTCTGTCTTCAGAAATGGCTCCCAGAGGCTAATGGGTTAACCTCTGGTTAGTCAGCAGACCTTCATCCATTTTATTCTCATTGGCTGACCTCTGACCTCTACCACTGTAACCATGGAGGAAATTTTCATTTCAGAAATGGGCGGGACGTAAGTATTTTTGTAACATAACTTATATACACGTTAAAAGTGTTTTCCAATAGTTCCTCTATGTTCGTTTCATTCACTTCCTCTTGTATCTCTGCTTTCCCTCTCCTGACAAAATATATGGATGAATGAGATGAACAAGGCGACCAAGACTCTCCTGGTCAGCCAGGCCAACAATCACCCTAACGACGCCTCTTTTCAGAGGCATAGACCAGTATTGGTTAATACAGGCTAATAAAGACCTTAACGACTCCCAATTACTGAGGGGTGGAGCTGTGCTTCCAATTTAATTAGCATGTTTTGGGCTTTTACAAAAAAGTAAATTAAAAAAAATCAATCCACTGGACTTTGTTTTCAAGTTTGAAGACGTTTCTCTTCCATCCAGGAAGCTTTTTCAATTCAAAATGTCAGAAATAGCGTTTAGTTCCAGGTTTTATCCAGCAGCCCAACAAAGCCTGGTTTTAGTTTAGAAAACATGCAAATAGAAACGGATGAACGGGCCCCCCCCTTTGGAATGGGGGTCGTTTGGCTTCTTTGTTAGCCTGCAATGCCCCATACCTGTCTATGTCTCTGAAAGGGGGGTTGACTTTTTTTGGAATGACTATGAACTGGATGACTGAGAATCTTCACCATCGACGTGAAACAACTGGGCAACTTAGGGATCAACAATCTATGTAGATAAAAAAACACACATTATTACAATTATTATGAGCTTGGATATATAAAATCACATTCATAGATTTTCTTTTCCTTTTTTGGTGATAATAACAATATATAGCAATATTTAATTTGATTTATCAGCATTTGTAATAAAACAAATATTATACACAATGTTATTGAGACGTTTATAATGCAGGGGAGGGTCTTGAATTGGATCTGCTGCTTTATGGAACCAGTGATTTAGGAGGGATGTTACACAATTCTTTGACTTTTAAAGAAGTCTCTTATGTCTCTCTTTCATCTTTCAGACATTCTGGCTCTTAGTCTATTAACCAGACACACAAACACATGAGACCAATTCAAAGAATCATATAAATTAAAGGTAATAAAGGTATAAGGAGGATTTTCTTTAATTTTTGAAAATACCTGCCCTCTCCACTTTAAAGGAAAACTGCACATGCACAACCCTCTACCCGCTCCCGAGAGGGAACGCCTATTAAACGTGTGCGAGAGCGTGCACAAGCCCATTTCTCCTCGTGCACGCTCTGTTTAAAAGTTGCTGTTTGCGTCACTCATACAAGCTCACTTTCTAAAAGAAGATTAGCAAGTTTTCCACTACGTCAGACTCACCACCAATAAGGGAAAATGGGGACGAGCACGTAGGAGGATGATTGACAATTAGAAGGACCAATTATTTAGATGATCCACTCGGAGAAGCAACATCCTTCACTGTCATTTTAAGACCTCTGATTTAACAACATGACCAAAGTAAGGAACAAACGCCTAATTTAAAGCAGCAGATTCCCTCAGTATGTTTCCAGACGCCCGTTTTTCTCCAAGATCGTAACTCCTGGAGTGTTTAAGATATTTAAAAAATCCAAAACGTTTCCAGAAAGCAGAGAAAAAGAACCGAACTAGGGATGCAGGATATTGGGATTTTGGCCGATATCCGATATGCCGATATTTTAAAACTCATGTAGCCGATAACCGATATCGATACCGATGTTAAAGCTGGACAAAAATAAGTAGTCATTGAAAATAGCAGTTTTGTTATCCATTTCTGACACTTTGAAAAATAATAAACTCAAATATATTTTCATATGCTGATATCAAATAGATTTTTAAAAACGCGGTATCGATCTATTTTACTTTCAAAATCTGGTGAAATTTCATCGTTCTGTTACAAACTCGTGATATTTTGCAAATTCTTGTGAGATTTTGTTAGTAAAATAGATCGATACCGCGTCAATATATCAACATATAAAAATATGGCAACATTTGGTGAATTTTCGGGGGATTTCGTAGCATAACGATGACATATAGCAATATTTCATTAGTAAAAGAGATTGATATGGTGTTTTTAAATGGCAATATATCAGCATATGAAGATATTGGGATATTTTAATGGATCAATATTTTTCCCTCGTCTTTAGAAGTTTTTAAGTCTGTAAAAAAGAAGTTTTTGAGGAAGAAGAAGAAGTAGTATTTTATTTTATTTTTTTTAGACTTTAGAAACTCAGAAGCTGATCAAATATCGGGTTAAATATCGGTGGGGTGGCCGATGTCCGATATTCAGATTTAAGGCCGAAACCGATAGGGGGCCGATTATATCGTGCGTCCCTAAACCGAACAGTTCTGGTTAAGGCAGCATGTAGGACTTCAGCAGCTCTGTGACCGTCCAATCACAGACCTGCTTCAGAGGCGCATAAAGTGAGCTTCTCAGAGTGACAGCGGTGACAGCCAATCACACAAGAAAAGACGAAGGGCCAATCAGCTTGTGGGCGGGCTAAACTCAGTTTATCGCTTGGTCCTAGTGATCAACGATTGTCGGTGTGCTGTAGCTTAACAGACAGATGTCCTGATGTTGACATGTACAGAAAACCTAATTGTTCCTGTATGGAAAATTTGCTCAGTCAGTAAAACCCATCAAAGCGGCCATTTCCATAACCAATGAGGAAACAGGAACAAAACAAGAGACAAATAAGGAAACAACCAGTAAAAATCTCTACTTAACCACAGACATTTAAAAAAAGCCAATTCAACATCATTCTGTGAAAATTCCTCATGTTTCTGCTCCTTCCATCCAATTTCTGCAAATAAAGTCGATAGATGTTTAAAATTTGGTCTCATTAAAGAAACGTAGAAAGATATTGAGCATCGACACCGTCTGAAGAAGCTTATTGTCTTTAATACCAATGATTATTTAGTAATATTTCTTTATTTTTTCTGTATATCTTAATGTTTTAATTCAGTTGTTTGGGACAGTAAAAGGGGCTTCATAAATATCACATACAAAGTTCAAATATTATTCACAATTTCCATAGAAGACGGGATCCTCCAAATTCCAGTTCTCCCTCTACGCAGATGACGCCTTCGTTTGCTGCTCAGCTCCAAGTCCTGCTGAGGCCGTCGGGTTTCTGCAGCCTTTGATGAAAACAAAAACCGCTCTGCCACTTCTCACTTTTCCTAAAGTGCAGATTCAATAAAATTCATTTTTTTCACCACTTCAACATTTTCAGATCAGCACTTTCTGATGTTGACAAGAAACAGTCTGAGTTTGTATCTATGTCTAATTATTTAGGATTTCTAACTTAATGATCAGTTGATTTTAACAGAAATCATTTATGAAATTTATACAGAAACATGTTTAATTGTAAAACATAAATCAAAGGATATAAATATATATTAAACCATGTTCAACATGCTTTATTTAGATGGAGTATTAAGGCCAGGCTAGAGATTTTTTATTTTTATTTTATGACAACTCTTACAAGAAGCCATTTCTTCTCTAAAATGAGGAAAGTGGAGCATCATTTGAAGTTAGGGGCTCTGTTCGAAAATCCAGGACGCGTCCTTAGAAGGCCAGATTGGAAGGATGATTACGTCATAGCGTGGCGCCGAGGTCTGGTCGGATTCCGAGAGTCCTCGTTATGCACCCTTAAAATGCGTCCTTCTTTTAGCCCGATTTGAAGGACGGGTCCGATGTATCCTCGCTATCCTTGGTTTACCCAGGATTCATTGCGAGACCAAGCTGCTCCGTGATCAGAGGAAAAGGTTACTTGGCGCCGAACAGTGGTGCAAATTGAAAGTTCAGTTTAATATAATCCAGTCTGTGAATAGTTCCGTCTGAAATGAATGAAAATTGTTGTTTTTATGGTTATAGAGTCAGATATGTGGCGGTAATGTTTGATTTATCTAAAGGTTTTTATCTGTTATTGTATAAATGGGTTTGGCTGGAATTTAAGGACAGATTCTAATAGATCTGCAGGGTGGGGACTATAAATCTGATAGGATTTTTATCTTTTTATTGCTGTTTTGCACAATAAGCTTAACTAAGATTTTGTTGTTGTTAAATATTAGAGATTTTGCAGATATATATTTTTATAAATACATTGTTTAGATTTACTTATATCTTTCTACCCCTTTTATAGAATAGAATAGAAAATCCCTTTATTGTCCCACAATGGGCAGATTTACAGCAGCAGAAAGATTATTGAAAATGGTCACACAAATGTGGACCTTAGAAAAATGTATAAGAATAACATAATAGGGAAGAGTTCAAATATAAAAAATAAAATACTGTAAAGTGTTTTAACAATATAAAACTGGGGAATAAATAACCAATATGCAGCTATGGACATTTTTACAGTAATTTGAAAATAGCAGCAACATCAGAGATGTGCAGAATGACAGCAGCAGGTAATTTAACTGACTAAGGTTTCTATCATTACATTTGATTTGATTTGTTCCTGCTCCCGGTGGGTGGAACCTTTATTCCACTCTGGATTAAATCAGTCTTTGTTCACTTTACAATAAAAAAGAAATAAATAAAATAACAGTTTTAAAAACTTCGGTTTTCATTCTTTTCCTGCTTTGTGTGTCAACTTTCCCGGTTGCTAAGCAACAGAACATACGGCGGTAAAACCCACCGAAGGGTGGACCTGGTCGAATTCACAGCTAAAACTCGTCCGGTCTCCTTATTTTCACAGACTTTGAAGGATCCAGTCTAGGTAGACCGCGTCCTTGGAGGATCCAGTCTAGGTAGACCGCGTCCTTGGAGGATCCAGTCTAGGTAGACCGCGTCCTTGGAGGATCCAGTCTAGGTAGACCGCGTCCTTGGAGGATCCAGTCTAGGTAGACCGCGTCCTTGGAGGATCCAGTCTAGGTAGACCGCGTCCTTGGAGGATCCAGTCTAGGTAGACCGCGTCCTTGGAGGATCCAGTCTAGGTAGACCGCGTCCTTGGAGGATCCAGTCTAGGTAGACCGCGTCCTTGGAGGATCCAGTCTAGGTAGACCGCGTCCTTGGAGGATCCAGTCTAGGTAGGCCGCGTCCTTGGAGGATCCAGTCTAGGTAGGCCGCGTCCTTGGAGGATGCAGTCTAGGTAGACCGCGTCCTTGGAGGATCCAGTCTAGGTAGACCGCGTCCTTGGAGGATCCAGTCTAGGTAGACCGCGTCCTTGGAGGATCCAGTCTAGGTAGACCGCGTCCTTGGAGGATCCAGTCTAGGTAGACCGCGTCCTTGGAGGATCCAGTCTAGGTAGACCGCGTCCTTGGAGGATCCAGTCTAGGTAGACCGCGTCCTTGGAGGATCCAGTCTAGGTAGGCCGCGTCCTTGGAGGATGCAGTCTAGGTAGACCGCGTCCTTGGAGGATGCAGTCTAGGTAGACCGCGTCCTTGGAGGATGCAGTCTAGGTAGACCGCGTCCTTGGAGGATGCAGTCTAGGTAGACCGCGTCCTTGGAGGATGCAGTCTAGGTAGACCGCGTCCTTGGAGGATGCAGCCCAGGTTTTCGAACAGAGCCATACTTTAGCATCGGTTTGACAAATCAGCAAATCTTTTAGCAGCAGCATCAAACTGGGCAGGAGGTCAAAGTGGACTCTGGTTGCTGATTGGTGGAGCTGGTCGGCCATCATCTGCTGGGCGGAGCTCCAAGCTTTCTTTCTGAAACAAGTATGAAGACTTCATTCTCGTAATAAAAAACATTTCTAGCCTGGCCCTAATACTCTGTCGTACTTTATCAAGTCTGAGGACTGTAAAGCATTTCAGTCTCCATTCAGTCACATTCATACGTGGATGATGCTAAGCTACGCTCACCTGAGAGCGACTTTGAAGCTCTGCTGAAATCATTGCTGTTTCAGCTTTTAGAAAAGCAATGTTTTTAATATTTCTGTTGGTAGTCATTTGACTGTGCTGCCGCCATCTTGGCCAGGTCTCACATCTGGTAACTGAGTTCAGCTCAGAGACATTTCGTCTCCTCTCAGGTAACATTCAGTTCTGATAAAGTAGATTATTTTAAGGCTCCCAGAAAAAGCGAAGCGTCTCTTTAGCTTAGAACCACATCCTCTCCGAGACGAACCTCAGCGGCTCCGCGGCGTCAGAAACAGGAAGCTGCTTCTGGGTCGGTCAGCTGACAGATGAACCAGATTATTGTTTGTTCTTGTTCATTTATTCATGTTTTAGTTCCGTCTGACAGCTTCAGCTGCAGCTTCTGCTACTGATCTCCTGTTGCATCTGTTCCAGATCGCAGACCTGCACCAAGGGCCCTGTGCTGTCTTAATATTGCGTATTGTTGGATATTTGTTGTTGTACAGTGGGTGGTTTTAAAAGGCGATTTATTAAAATGTATTTTTATTATCAATATCTCTGTGACACAGACTTTCAGAAACAGATCAGTGGTTGTTCTTGTGGGTTTTCAGGTCCCACATTCTGTCCTCTGTTCAGATTAACCTTTGGGTTTGAAACTAGACCTGCGTGTGCAGGAGTGAGGGGGGGGGGCTTCAGCTGGTTATTTCTGGAGAGCTTAGGTCATTAAATACAGTGAAAGTTTCCACCAAAGAAATAAACCAACTATATGTCGTTCTATCTGCTCTCATACTGACTCATCAAAACCACCTTCAAGTTTCCATTAAACTCAGAATAAGTTTTATGTATTTTTAATTCACTAATGAGCTTATTCCACGAACATCACCTTTAATAAAAATGCATCATCGTCGCTGATCTGTACCTGAATTTTGAAAAAATCTTTTTCATGTTTCCTTATTTCATTCGATTATTGGCCTTCTTACTGTTTTTGATGTTGTTTGTTTCCTGGTCCTCTGTGGTAAACGTGTCCATGAAGGTGAAACAAAGAACATCATCGACTTTGAGGGTTTCTTCCCACATCATCTGATCAGGGGCAGATTGAGGAAATGTGGGGCCCTAGGCAAAGACAGGCAGGGGGCCCTCTGAATGGAGAAGACAACACATAAAACTAGGGATGCACGATATAATCGGCCCCCTATCGGTATCGGCCTTAAAACTGAATATCGGACATCGGCCACCCCACCGATATTTAACCCGATATTTGATCAGCTTCTGAGTTTCTAAAGTTTAAAAAAAAAAAAAAAATACTACTTCTTCTTCTTCCTCAAAAACTTCTTTTTTACAGACTTAAAAACTTCTAAAGACGAGGGAAAAAATATTGATCCATTAAAATATCCCAATATCTTCATATGCTGATATATTGCCATTTAAAAACACCATATCAATCTCTTTTACTAATGAAATATTGCTATATGTCATCGTTATGCTACGAAATCCCCCGAAAATTCACCAAATGTTGCCATATTTATATATGTTGATATATTGACGCGGAATCGATCTATTTTACTAACAAAATCTCACAAGAATTTGCAAAATATCACGAGAGTTTGTAACAGAACGATGAAATTTCACCAGATTTTGAAAGTAAAATAGATCGATACCGCGTTTTTAAAAATCTATTTGATATCAGCATATGAAAATATATTTGAGTATATTATTTTTCAAAGTGTCAGAAATGGATAACAAAACTGCTATTTTCAATGACTACTTATTTTTGTCCAGCTTTAACATCGGTATCGATATCGGTTATCGGCTACATGAGTTTTAAAATATCGGCATATTGGATATCGGCCAAAATCCCAATATTGTGCATCCCTACATAAAACAGACTCATTCTACAGATAGAGAAATGTTAATAGAATAGACATCCATTGATCTGTTCTAGGTTTTGTCCCTCTCTTCTTGTCACTTTCCTTGGTGTTTTCCTCTATATTTATAGCTAGCTTAATGCTAGCTTAATATTTAGCGAATATGCAAATTCGATTGATGAAAAGCGGAAGTGAACTACCAAAGTAAAAGCCTGAATGTCTTTGTGTAACTCCTATGGCTTAAAGACGAGAGACTGATTTCTCAAGAATTCTCCCAAGAAGTCTCCCTCGCAGCTGCAACACAGCGATGACTCATGTGCACAGGTTAACGTAACATTAAACATTTGCCCATTCCCTAAAACAAATTTATAATGTTAATTAAAACTGTTTTAAAGAGGACCGTCCATTCTGGAATTAATTAAGTTTTTTTTTTCATAAACTAACTTGTGATTTTCTGTCAGTGCGACGAAGATGCTGTAGGAGTTGTACAGATTTCCAGGCTTTTATTTTGGTAGTTCACTTCAGCTTTTTTGCTAAATATTTAGCTAGTGCCAGGCTAGCTAAGTATTTAGTTTGTTAAATGAATATTTAGTTTGAAGCTAAATATTTATTCAACAAACTAAATATATAATACTAAATAAATTTGAAAAGTAAATGTTTATTTAACAGAGCAGGACTTTAATAAATGAATGAATGACATTGAAAAAAGTAATTAGATAAAAAATAAACACCTTATTTTTCTATGAAAACACGCTAAATAACCATAAATATTACTCCCATATGTTTGGACCTTTCTGAACATGTGCAGCAAATGGACTGATCCAATATGGTGGACACTGAAGGGGGGGGCAATCAATGGTATTAGCGTTCTGATGGCATTTTAGCCAAAGGATTTTTATCAAAAACATAATTAATGTGCAGAAATAAGGAATAGTTGTATTAACCATACATGGAAACAGAGTTTTATGGGGCCCCCAGGAACTTGGGGCCCTAGGCACTTGCCTTGTGTTGCCTAATGGTGACCCCCCCCCCCCCCCCCCCCCCCCCCCCCAGCATGTGATGAATGTCAGGATCTAAAGTTTGTCTTTAAGTTCCTTTGGTCAGAATATTAATATTATTTATAAATGATGTTTTTTTATTTTCTCAGACTCGACAGACAGACCTTTGAATCACTTCAGCCTCCCAGACGTTAGCAACACCACCGCACTGTTGCTTAGCAACGACGCCTCCACCCTTTATGTGGGAGCCCGGAATGCCATCCTCTCATTGGATGTGAGCCAGAGTGATGTCATCCAGCTGAATAAGCAGGTGAGCTGAGCTGTCCAGGTGAGGCTGTGAGCTTCCTGCAGCCGTTGACCCGGTGCTCTTGGTTCTGGTGTTCAGGTGACCTGGAGTCCGTCTGAGGCTGAGATGGAGAGCTGCGCAGGCAAAGGGAAGAACCGGCAGGTAACCATGGATTCCATCAACTCCGTTTACAACCAGAATCCTGCTGCAGAATTTTAATTTATTTGAAACATTGAGAGGATTCTTTCTTTTTTCAAAAAACTTGATTTTAAGACAAATGAACAAAGAGTTTTTAGGTGAAGGTTTGCTTTTCACTTTGTTAATCAGATAGTTTAGATCAATCAAAGCCCATTTTAATGCATTAACATCATTCTAATAACAGAACCATTAAGTCTTTTTTTTATTTGCATCTTAGTGCAAAGATCTCTGTCTTCAAAATGACCTTTGACCTGGAACAGCTGTTACAGATACAGTCTCATTATTATTATTAGAATAATTAGCAGAAAAGATCAATAGAAAATAATCTGAACACACAGAAGTTCAAAGATTCAAACTGATCTAAAAAACAACAGCCGCTCAGGAACATGAGAGGAATTATTAAACATTAACGTTTATTTTATCAATCCTCACTACAAGCATCCATTAAGCTAGACTTCTAATGGACAAATGAGGCTTCAAAACCAGCTAGAAAATTCAGCTCTAAATAATTGAATCAGGTTTAACTTTAAAGCTCATCCTGTTTGGATGCATAACTGCACTGTAATAGATCAAAATCTAGATACGTAATTTTTTCTGAAAGTAAGAACATTTGTTCTTGGATTAAGGAGATAAAAGAGACATTTTGTCATTGGAAAAAGACAATTTACATTTAAAGTAATAAAAAAACAATTGCATTGTCTTATTTCAAGTGCATATTATCTAATTATCTTTATTTTTAGGCGTAAAAATCATTCCATTGGCAAACTATCTCATTTACCTGCTCAAATTGGTAAATGAGATGGTTTCCCAGAGGCTGTTGATCATCAAATATTAATAGAAAAACTTGAGAAAAATGGTTTTGGAAGAGTTCCGCTGAACTGGGTCAAATTCTCCTTGTCTAATAGGGAACAATAAGTCCATCGAGGGGAAATCTTATCTAGAAGACAGTAAATCACTTGTGGTGTTCCTCAGGGATCAATTTTGGGCCCTAAAGTGTTTTTATTATATATAAACGACCTTTTTAAGATCCCAGCAAAGGTTTACATTATTTGTCGATGACACTACCACAGTCAGCTCAGCTCATCTACAGCCTAGGGATGCACGATATAATGGGCCCCCTATCGGTATCGGCCTTAAACCTGAATATCGGACATCGGCCACCCCACCGATATTTAACCCGATATTTGATCAGCTTCTGAGTTTCTTAAGTCTAAAAAAAAAATAAAAATACTACTTCTTCTTCTTCCTCAAAAACTTCTTTTTTACAGACTTAAAAACTTCTAAAGACGAGGGAAAAAATATTGATCCATTAAAATATCCCAATATCTTCATCTGCTGATATATTGCCATTTAAAAACACCATATCAATCTCTTTTACTAATGAAATATTGCTATATGTCATCGTTATGCTACGAAATCCCCCGAAAATTCACCAAATGTTGCCATATTTTTATATGTTGATATATTGACGCGGTATCGATCTATTTTACTAACAAAATCTCACAAGAATTTGCAAAATATCACGAGAGTTTGTAACAGAACGATGAAATTTCACGAGATATTGAAAGTAAAATAGATCGATACCGCGTTTTTAAAAATCTATTTGATATCAGCATATGAAAATATATTTGAGTATATTATTTTTCAAAGTGTCAGAAATGGATAATAAAACTGCTATTTTCAATGACTACTTATTTTTGTCCAGCTTTAACATCGGTATCGATATCGGTTATCGGCTACATGAGTTTTAAAATATCGGCATATCGGATATCGACCAAAATCCCAATATCCTGCATCCCTACTACAGCCCCTAATGACTGGAAACTCAGCAGAATTAAACAAGTTAAAACAATGGTTTAATGATAATGAGTTATCAAAGAACATTCCTAAAACTAAAGTTATAATCTTTGGCAAACGACCGAAAGACATTCAAGTAAATGTTAAAATAAACAATATTATTATTGAGACAGTTAATCAACATGCATGTCTGGGTGGGATTTTAAATCATGATCTAAGCTGGAAACCCAAAATAGAAAATGTTTAATCAAAAGTTGCGAGAAGCAGGGATCTTCAACAGGGGGTCCGCGACCCCTAGGGGGGCCACGGAGGTACTGCATGGGGTCGCTAAAGTTTCGGTTGATTAGACTTTTTTTTTAAATTCCCTCCTGCAAATTGAAATGTCTTTAATCCACATGAACATGAATTCAACAGACTGTAGTAAACAGATAAATGGAGGCAGAAGATTAGCCTTGTGAGACCATCCTGATCTCGCGAGCTTTCAAGGTTTCACTCGCAGATCAGTCTGGAGACTCTCCGTTGAAGAAAATTTGGAGCCGTTCACCAAAGGAACGTCCAATCAGCGTTGGCTTTGAGGCGGGTTGAGGTGTGACGCAACGAGAAGCGCGACAGTTCAGTCTAAAGAACATGGCGGCTTCAGCCGATGAAACTAGCATTAGCGTGGCTATCGAGCAAGTTTTATCGGAATTACAGAGTATTTCTTCACTGAAAGAAGAGCAAAACACTGCTCTGGAGGCTTTTCTCAGAGGAAAAGATGTTTTTGCTCTTCTCCCGACTGGTTTCGGCAAGAGTTTGATCTATCAATTGGCTCCTCTTCGACTTCGCTCTGTTAGTACGTCATATGCTTCGTTGATCTGATTGGTTTATTTGGCCCGTCTATCACCAACATAGGCCAATCAGATAACCAGTATTTTCGCCCCTTCCCAAAATTACTTCAACGGAAGGTTTCCAGATGGATATGCGGAGCAAATCCATCTGGGGGAGTCAGGTTAGAAAAATCATACAGGGAGGAAAAACTCCCTTTGAACAGGAAGAAACCTCCAGCAGAACCAGGCTCAGTGTGAGCGGCCATCTGCTGAGGCCCACTGGGGTTCAAGGAGACAGAAGCAGACATAGAAAAAGAAGCTTGAAGACTTTCAAAGCTTTCAGAACATGAGATATTCTCTGACCGAGCCTCTGATGGGCGAACAAACACCAGGCTGCTGTGAAGCTGCCAGGGACGCCAGCATGTTGAGCCGTGTCGTTTCCTAACAGGAAGTTGCGCCAACACTCTGGTGATGCAGTGAGAGCGGGTGCATGCAACACATCTCCTGCTGTTTGTGTCAAACTGAATCACCAGCAGGTTACAGAGCGAAGTCAGAGAGAAAACTACGCTGACGGCGTGGATTGACGGTCCATTAAGGATCCTCTGGGAGCTGCACCAGCAGGAGGAGCATCTGCTTCAGTTTAGTAACATCTGTGGATTTTAATCCACCTTTAGTGGTTTTATGAGGAAGTTCAGCTTCACTTCAGATCCACACCGACTCCCAGCAACCAGAATAAATCTATTCAGTTTATTTTTATAGGCAAGAGTAGCCTGGCTTGTGGTTGTGTTTTCGTCGTCGCTCTGTTAGTACGTCATATGCTTCGTTGATCTGATTGGTTTATTTGGCCCGTCTATCACCAACATAGGCCAATCAGCTAACCAGTATTTTCACCCCTTCCCAAAATTACTTCAACGGAAGGTTTCCAGATGGATATGCGGAGCAAATCCATCTGGTGGAGTCGGGTTAGAGAAGATCTCTTTCAGTCATCAATGCTCACATTCAGGGACACACAGGAGCTCTTTCAAGCTGGGCACCGTTTCATTCACAACACCTGTCCCATCAACTAGGAATCAGAAATACTTTTAATAATCCCAGGGAGGGATTACTGTAGTTACATTACTCCATCTGTAATAGAGTGACTATAGGACCAGTTTGATAGAACACTATTTCATCCATCTCACCATCAGTTTTGGGTCCTTGGCCTGGAAAACGTTGAAGACCTCTGATATAGAGTAAAACATCTGCTTGATTATAAAGCGCAGCATATCCTCTACAATTCATTAGTTCTTCCAAACATTAGTTATTGCATAGAGCTTTGGGGTAATACGTAAAAAAGTAATCTAGATTCAGAAAAAAGCTTTATGAATCATTCGTCATCGTTCTAATGCACTTTTCTTAAAATCTCACCATGAAAATCCAAGAGTTAATTGAATTTAAGACTTTTACTGCAGCATACAAAGCAAGCTGTGATCTACTCCCTGGCAAAACACAAAAAATGTTTACAAGTAGAGAAGAGAATTATAATTTGAGAGGAAAATTTAAATTTAGAAGATGTGGCGTTTGCACCACACTTCGGTCAGCCAAGCTGGAGTTATTGTAGAATGGTTTAGATAAGGAGTTCCACACTTAGAAAACTTAAAAGCATGTATAAATATGTTATCTTTAAGAAATATGCATGTGGCCCAAACATTTAAATGTGATAATTTGCAACATTTTAATATCTACTGCTAGATATCTTCTTTCTTCTGTTGGTTTAACTGCACAGAAACATGCAGCTTTAAAGGTTTGAAACCAGATATTAACCTCCTGCTCCTCCTCTAAGGCAATGAAAGGTTTTATTCTTTTTAAACGTTTACATGTTTAATCATTTAAACTGATCAAAAATGTTGAAGATCCAGTTTTAGATAAAGTCCCCCCCCATAGCTTCCTGTCAACAATGATTAAATCTCATGTTTCTCTCAAACTAGGTCACCTTAATACATGCAAAACAAATTTCGAAACTTCAAGGTTTTAGCAGAATCTTAAAAAAAATGGGAAAAAAAACAAGAAAAATTTAGTTTATATCCTAAAAATGTTCTCCGTAAATCCAGAATCAGCTCCAGAATCCAACTGAGCGCGTGCAGAATGAGCGTCAGCTTAGATTTACAGTGTTTTTATTTTTATTTTACAAACATGTTGGTTTAAAGGAAAAGTCCGATCAGCAGGAATAATCAATGGATCATTATTTATAACCAAGCAAATAAGTTCACGGTGATTTAATGAATTTAGCGTTAATCAGTAAAAAATAAATCAGTCGTGATCACTGAGTCTGGGAGCGGCCATTTTTGCCCAAATATAGTAGCCCCTCCCTCCTGCCATCTTCCAGCAGTGACGTCACGGTGCGGTAAGCCTAGCGCCATTCTCCCCGCTTTCCAAGCTAAATCAATGGGAACTACTAGACACATCTGCAATCAACAACAATTATTGAAGATTTCCAGAGGACTTCACCATTGAAATTCACCAGAGCTATAGTGAAACTGACAATGCCCACGTGCATGGCAGCTGGATGCTGGAATACATCGGGTAAAAGTGGAAAAAAAAAGAATTCCTGCTGATACAACCCATCAGCAGGACCGCTATCTGCTCCTTTGTGCAAGGAGGAGCAGGAGGAGCACTGCCAGAGCCCTACAAAATGACCTCCAGCAGGCCACTGGTGTGAATGTCTCTGACCAAACAATCAGAAACAGACTTCATGACGTCCTCTAGTGGGCGCTGTGGTCACTGCCCGGCACCGTGGAGCTCTATTGGCATTTGCCACAGAACACCGGAATTGGCAAGTCGGCCACTGGCGCCCTGTGCTTTTCACAGATGAGAGCAGGTTCAATCTGAGCACATGTGACAGACGTGAAAGGGTCTGGAGAAGCTGTGGAGAACGTTATGCTGCCTGTAGGGTTGTCACGATACTAAACGTTTCAACTCGATACCGATACTAAGGAAAATATTCGATACTCGATACCATTTTCGATACCACAAGGATAAAATTTCAACAGAAATATTTTGATTAATAATTAAAATACAATAAATAAATAAATACAATAAACAATAAGAACAACATTTTGAGGCAGTTTTCTGTGCACAGTATTGAGCAAGCTTGATAAAAAACTTACAAAATTAAAATTAAGTTTTCCTTCCTTGGCTATGCTTTGCACACATAACAATGACACGAGCCAAACCGGGTAAGAAACAAAAATAATTCTCAGCAGCTGCACCTCTTACAAAAAAAAGTCTGAAACTGAAAAGTGCGTAGAATTATTCAATCACACAGTGTTCAGAAAGTGCATTTTCCTCTATTCTGCACTTTAGATGAATGACTGTTTAGGTGCGACTGGTACTTGATACTTTTGAAAATGAGTATTGTATCCGGATACAACGTTTCACTTTTGACAACCCTAGCTGCCTGTAACATCGTTCAGCATGACCGGTTTGGTGGGGGGTCAGTGATGGTCTGGGGAGGCATATCGCACAGACCTATACAGGCTAGACAACGGCACCCTGACTGCCATTAGGTATCAAGATGAAATCCTGCACCCATTGTCAGACCCTATGCTGGTGCAGCGGGTCCTGGGTTCCTCCTGGTGCACGACAATGCGCGGCCTCATGTGGCGAGAGTATGCAAGCAGTTCCTGGAGGATGAAGGAATTGGTACCATTGATTGCCCCCCCCCCCACGCTCGCCTGACCTAAACCCAATAGAACACCTCTGGGACATTATGTTTCTATCCACCTGACGCCGCCAGGCTGCACCTCAGACTGTCCAGGAGCTCAGTGATGCCCTGGTTCAGATCTGGGAGGAGATACCCCAGGACGCCATCCGTCGTCTCATTAGGAGCATGCCCCGACGTTGTCAGGCATGCATACAGGCACGTGGGGGGCATACAAATTACTGAATACCATTTTAGTTACTGCAATGACATCAGCGAAATGGACTAACCTGCAGCATCATTTTTTCACTATACTTTTCGGGGTGTCTTTGAATTCAGGCCTCTGAAGGCTGATCATTTTCATTTCCATCAAATGATGCGGCATCCTTTGTTCCTAACACATCACCCAGTCCATATCAGGATAAATGAACAGCAGGATTTTTTGCCCCATTGAGACCTGATGTGTTTTCAAAGTGTTCCTTTAATTTATATATATATATATATATATATATATATTTATATATCCCATTCACATTCTTATGGAAAGCAGGGCTCTTTTAGCACTTTTCTCTGCTTCCATCCCTGCTACTCATCGTCTTGTTTAAACACCGGAAACCAATACCTGTGAAACATGAGGATAATCTGTCATAATTTCCCATATAATCCCACCAATGAAAGGTAATCCGGTTTTTAGTCTCCTTTTAGTTGTGCACTGATACGTGGAATAATAGTCTGGCATCCTGAGGGGAAGCTCTTGAATTTGCTATCAATACAAAAATCACCATGGGATGGGAATCTACGTTGCATTTGACGCACCACTACAAGATGAGTCGACAGATTCGGCGGTATTCATTGGCGGCAAATCATTGCAGCTTGGTGGCGGTGGCGTTAGCATAGTAGCATGGACGACGAGATGATTGAAAATGAACACAACGGAGATCTAGTCCTATTGGCAGACATCCATTTAAAATGTAGGCAACGGCATGAAAAAAGTGGTTTCTACTTTTACTTTTATACTTTAAGTAAATTTACAAGCCTGTACTTTGTTACTTTTACTTGAGTAAAGAAGTTTAATCAGTACTTCCACTTTTACCAGAGTATTTTTTAACACAAGTATCTGTACTTTTACTCAAGTACGGAAAGTGGGTACTATAAGCGGATTCCGCTGTACCGTAATTACATTATTTATGGACGCCCAGATGTATATCTATTCGCACATGCGCAGGACGGATCGTGTTTCCGCGACGGATCGGGTAGTGACAGGGTCTATGTCCACGGCCTCTGCTCTGGCATTACTTCTCTTGCCAATAAAAGTGAGCAGTGTTGCCAAGTCCTCAGCAAGAAAAGCTGCTATTGGCTGTCCTAAAAGGCACTAAATTTAGCGACAAAAAGTTGAAAAAACTGCCCGTGAATGAACAGCACCCTCCAGTGGTGGGCAATAATATTACCACACTAAATCAGATTCCCTCCACGTAGAAAATCAGTTTATTGAATGAAGCATATCTTAACCCAATAAAACATTAATGGCCGTTCTGTTGTTTCCTTTCCCCCTGCAGCTGGACTGTCCAAACTTTGTCCATGTTATTGAGGCAGTGAACTCCAGCCACCTGTACGCCTGCGGCAGCTTCGCCTACAACCCCCATCAAGCCTTCATCGTCAGTCTTCATCCTCCCCCCATGTTTTAAATGCACTGATAGAAAAGCAAAGCATTTATTTTGTACCTGCTGAGAGAGAATTACATTCCAGCTTGTGTTTCCTGGTTTAGGACATCAGAAGCATGTCTGTGGTCCATCAGGCTGAGGCTAGAGCTCACTGTCCGTACAACCCTGTGGAACGGAGCTCCGCGGTCATCATCGGTCAGTTAACACAGTTTTACAGTCACATAAAAAAGATCTGCAGGCAGAGGAGGTTTTAGGAAGGAACTAAGTTCTGTTTTTTGTAACATGATGTTTATACAGATTCGTGTTTGTAGGTTTTTTTTTAGTTTTTTCTCTAGTGGCTCGTTTTCCTGACAGTAGGCTGACAGGAAAGGGGGAATGAGAGAGAGGGAGAGCCATGCGGCGAAGGACCAGAGGTGGGATTCGAACCTGCACGTCCGTTTGTAGGTTTTATTTAAGTTAGCTCTCAGATTTTATTGAGGTTTCACTACGTCTCAGTTAGCAACCAGGCTTTAGACTTGGACAACTTTTATTGCCATTTTGTACACAGAGTGTATACAAAACGAAATTTAGTTTTGTACAGCTTTCATGACATTTTCATTCCATAAAGTACAGCATCAATCAAATGTAAAAAATGCATTGATCTGGAAGTTAAGAGCATTAATATATATGGTGCAAATCTGCAGTATTGTTGGTTTGGTGTTATCAGAGTGATGCAGACTCTGTGATTTAGAGTTTATTCAACAGTTCATCAGTCTGAGGCGCTGCAGCCTCCACACCACAGTGAGACAGCTGCTCAGAACGCTCTCCTGAACGTTTTAGCTGCATCCCTGTGTTGAAGCAGGAACAAATCTAAAATCTTTAGGACAGTAGACGTTGAGGACTGCGGTTAGAGACCGCTGCCCTAAACGATCAGAGACAGAAGAGGAAGTCTGCCTCAGTCTTGCTTCCATCTTCTGCAGGATTCCAACCTGTCCGTAAGGGTTTCTTCTACAATGAAGCAGCTTGACTCACAGCCACCTGCTGCCAGACTGAGCAAGCTCTGCAGCGCTGGCACCACAGTTCAGTCCAGAAACTTCTCCTTGGAGGTGTTGAGGTTCTACTAAGCTTTTCTGTCTCCATGGGAACCGCTGCCAACAGTAGAGTGAACTGGTGGAGTGAAATCAGGTGATTCCAGGATGGTGCGGTTTCAGTCAGCTGGAAATGTTGGGGTGTTTTGTTTAAGATGTTCTTGACGGTTCTGAAGAGTGTTTAATTTCTCTATTCTGTGACTCAGATCCTTCATCCTCAGAAACGTTCAACATTCAGAGGTTTTCATTCAATCTGCTGATAAAATGGAGGCTTTAACGAGTTAAAAAAAAAAAAAAAAAACAGTTCTTTCTTCCATATTGTAACTCACTGGTTTGACTGGGTCAAGCTTCCCCTTTTTCTAAGCTCAGCACCATCTGTTGGGTTTTCTCTCTCTGCAGATGAGGAGCTCTTTACAGCCTCCACCACAGACTTTAAGGGACGTACGCCACAGATTTCTCGATTCCTCAGCAAAGATGGCCGCCCAGACGTCAACCTGGACTCGTCTGTCAGCCGACTTGAAGGTGAGAGGAGCAGACTGCTATGGAGACTAATCCTTAAAAGGTTTTACATCATCTTCCTTTTTTATTCAGATTATTAAACAAACTGATTTTATTTCAAACCACTGATGTTACAAAACCTAAAACTTCAATCGGATATTTTCGTTATCTGAATTAAAACATAGTGAAACCACACTGAAGCGGTGGCACGCCATGGTTCCGAATCAATGATTCACTTCCTGTTTGGGTCATAAGCTTCTTATAGAAACTCTTTCAAACTCTTCTCAGTAAAGTGTTGCTCAGAAAGCAACAGACAAAAAAGGAGAAATTACATCAGGGCACCAAAAATACCTGCCAGTTTTCAGTTAAAGTCATAAGGAAATCATATTTAAATGTCAAATAATTCTGGCTTAAATATGTATATAAATGTACTCTATCAGACGATATTGTCCAAAAATTTAGAAGATTTCTATTTTCTAAAAAATCCTCTTAAAATCTGTTTTTTTTTCCCCGTTATCTTCTGCAGGCCAGTTAGTTCTACGTCAGCCTGAACACCTAAATTCAGCCAATCATATATCAACGGTCATCTGTCAACCAAATGTTTTCGTTCATAGCATCTTGATTCATATGTCGCAGCTAATATACGCAACGGTTGAAATCAAAATCCTTTCCTTTCCCATTGAGTTGCGTCCCAGTGTTCACGGGGATGGACGTCTGTGTCTTCGGCAGGCGTAGAGCTAACAGAGCTGGCAGCGTTGCGAGGCAAGGGCTCAAACATGTACGGCTGGAAGCCTTCTACACCAAACCAAGCTTCTGCCGCCCTGGCGTCCTCTTCCACAACATCTTCGTCCCCGCTTTCCTCCTCTAAATAAAAAATGGATGACGGAGGAGACTCATCCACGACCTCCGATACTAAACTCTCCTCCTCTTGCATGTTTCCTCTGTCCATAGCGTTCCTTGACAGCGTCGTTTCTAAGGCACCAATTTAGTGCTACTTGGTCCCAATGGAATTTCCCATTGGGAACCTGCTAGCACTAAGTCGCTAACTGGTTAGCAAGATGCTTCCCACAAACCTCGACCAATCACATTCACTTTATTCACTCGTGTAAAGTCAGGCACCACTCGGGAGAATTGGGAAATGGAACGTTTGGATCAGCCGCTTCCCTACGACTTTAACGTCTCAGATCTATATAAATCGCTCAGCTGCAGAGGTCAGCTCGCAGCTCTGTTTTTGGCTGCTTCCAGAGCCCAGTTTCCTCATCTGGGATCTCCTCCTGCATTTCAGAGCCAACATTTGTGAGCTCCTCGTTGGATCCTGCAGAGAAAAAACTCCACATCTTCTTCAATGAAGTTGGGAAAGAGTTCAACTTTGTCCGCCAGCTTCAGATTCCCAGAGTGGCTCAAGTCTGCAAGGTGCCAAAGACCCAGAAGTGATGCACGAGCTGGTGGCTGATGTGAGCTAATAACCCTCTATCGGTTCCTCAGGATGATGTTGGAGGGCAGAGGACTTTGCAGAAGAAGTGGACATCTTTTGCCAAATCCTCTCTGCTCTGCCAGCTTCCCAAACAACTTCCATTTAACATCCTGGAGGATATGTTCACCCTGCAGCCACCAGAGGGCGCCGACACATCAGAGACACTGTTCTATGGTGTCTTCACCTCTCAGTGGTAAGGTTCCATTTCATAGTCCTAATGGGGGGAGGGGATCTACTGATCAGACAGCACCAGTTCTGCAGAACAAATTAAGATGATGAACCTGTTCCAGGTCCATTCGGCCAGAGTCTGCCGTGTGCATATTTAAGCTGACGGACATCCGGAACGCTTTCAGCGGAAGCTTCAAGACTCTGGAGAAAGAAACATATCAGCTGAAACTCTCTCAGAGACGTGATTACCTGGGAAAGGTAAGGATGTCACTTTTACGTCCTGCTTCAAACTTTAACCAATCACAGCATCTCTTCCTTAATTCGTTAATGTTAAAAACAGGTTGGTTCATTTCTGTTAAATTGTCCCATTTCTAAGTTAATAAAGACAAACATAAAGTATTATATTACCTACAGTAATAGCCATTCAAAATGTCTGGCCCTTGGCTGGTCCTTGGCTGCATCTTGGCTGGCCCTTGGCTGGTCCTTGGCCGATCATTGGCCGGCCCTTGGCTGGCCCTTGGCTGGTCCTTGGCCGGTCCTTGGCTGATCATTGGCTGGCCCTTGGCTGGTCCTTGGCTGGCCCTTAGCTGGCCCTTGGCTGGTCCTTGGCTGATCATTGGCTGGCCCTTGGCTGGTCCTTGGCTGGTCCTTGGCTGATCATTGGCTGGCCCTTGGCTGGTCCTTGGCTGGTCCTTGGCTGATCATTGGCTGGCCCTTGGTTGGTCCTTGGCTGGCCCTTGGCTGGTTCTTGGCTGCATCTTGGCTGGCCCTTGATTGGTTCTTGGCTGCATCTTGGCTGGCCCTTGATTGGTTCTTGGCTGCATCTTGGCTGGCCCTTGATTGGTTCTTGGCTGCATCTTGGCTGGCCCTTGGTTGATTCTAGGCAGGCCCTTGGCTGGTCCTTGGCCGGTCCTTGGCTGATCATTGGCTCGCCCTTGGCTGGTCCTTGGCTGGCCCTTGGCTGGTCCTTGGCTGGTCATTGGCTGGCCCTTGGCTGGTCCTTGGCTGGTCCTTGGCTGGTCATTGGCTGGCCCTTGGCTGGTCCTTGGCTGGTCCTTGGCTGGTCCTTGGCTGATCATTGGCTGGCCCTTGGTTGGTCCTTGGCTGGCCCTTGGCTGGTTCTTGGCTGCATCTTGGCTGGCCCTTGATTGGTTCTTGGCTGCATCTTGGCTGGCCCTTGATTGGTTCTTGGCTGCATCTTGGCTGGCCCTTGATTGGTTCTTGGCTGCATCTTGGCTGGCCCTTGGTTGATTCTTGGCAGGACCTTGGCTGGCCCTTGTCTGGCCCCTGGCTGGTCCTTGGCTGGTTCTTGGCAGGACCTTGGCTGGCCCTTGGCTGGTCCTTGGCTGGTTCTTGGCAGGACCTTGGCTGGCTCTTGGCTGGTCCTTGGCTGGCCCTTGGCTGGTCCTTGGCTGGCCCTTGGCTGGTCCTTGGCTGGCCCTTGGCATGTCCTTGGCTGGTCCTTGGCTGGCTCTTGGCATGTCCTTGGCTGGTCCTTGGCTGTCCCTCTGCTGGTCCTTGGCTGGTTCTTGGCAGGACCTTTGCTGGTCATTGGCTGGCCTTTGGCTGGTCCTTGGCTGGTTCTTGGCTGCATCTTGGCTGGCCCTTGGCTGGCCTTTGGCTGGTCCTTGGCTGGTTCTTGGCTGCATCTTGGCTGGCCCTTGGCTGGCCTTTGGCCGGTCCTTGGCTGGTTCTTGGCTGCATCTTGGCTGGCCCTTGGCTGGTCCTTGGCTGCATCTTGGCTGGCCCTTGGTTGATTCTTGGCAGGACCTTGGCTGGCCCTTGTCTGGCCCCTGGCTGGTCCTTGGCTGGTTCTTGGCAGGACCTTGGCTGGCCCTTGGCTGGTCCTTGGCTTGTCCTTGGCTGGTTCTTGGCAGGACCTTGGCTGGCTCTTGGCTGGTCCTTGGCTGGCCCTTGGCTGGTCCTTGGCTGGCCCTTGGCATGTCCTTGGCTGGTCCTTGGCTGGCCCTTGGCATGTCCTTGGCTGGTCCTTGGCTGTCCCTCTGCTGTCCTTGGCTGTCCCTCTGCTGGTCCTTGGCTGGTTCTTGGCAGGACCTTTGCTGGTCATTGGCTGGTCCTTGGCTGGTCCTTGGCTGATTCTTGGTTGGCCCTTGGCTGGTCCTTGGTTGGCCCTTGGCTGGTCCTTGGCTGGCCCTTGGCATGTCCTTGGCTGGTCCTTGGCTGTCCCTCTGCTGTCCTTGGCTGTCCCTCTGCTGGTCCTTGGCTGGTTCTTGGCAGGACCTTTGCTGGTCATTGGCTGGTCCTTGGCTGATTCTTGGCTGCATCTTGGCTGGCCCTTGATTTGTTCTTGGCTGCAACTTGGCTGGCCCTTGGTTGATTCTTGGCAGGACCTTGGCTGGCCCTTGTCTGGCCCCTGGCTGGTCCTTGGCTGGTTCTTGGCAGGACCTTGGCTGGCCCTTGGCTGGTCCTTGGCTGGCTCTTGGCTGGTCCTTGGCTGGCTCTTGGCTGGTCCTTGGCTGGCCCTTGGCTGGTCCTTGGCTGGCCCTTGGCTGGTCCTTGGCTGGCCCTTGGCATGTCCTTGGCTGGCCCTTTGCATGTCCTTGGCTGGTCCTTGGCTGTCCCTCTGCTGTCCTTGGCTGTCCCTCTGCTGGTCCTTGGCTGGTTCTTGGCAGGACCTTTGCTGGTCATTGGCTGGTCCTTGGCTGATTCTTGGTTGGCCCTTGGCTGGTCCTTGGCTGGCCCTTGGCATGTCCTTGGCTGGTCCTTGGCTGTCCCTCTGCTGTCCTTGGCTGTCCCTCTGCTGTCCTTGGCTGTCCCTCTGCTGGTCCTTGGCTGGTTCTTGGCAGGACCTTTGCTGGTCCTTGGCTGGTCCTTGGCTGATTCTTGGTTGGTCCTTGGCTGGTCCTTGGCTGATTCTTGGTTGGTCCTTGGCTGGTCCTTGGCTGATTCTTGGTTGGCCCTTGGCTGGTCCTTGGCTGGCCCTTGGCTGATTCTTGGTTGGTCCTTGGCTGGTCCTTGGCTGGCCCTTGGCTGGCCCTTGGCTGATTCTTGGTTGGTCCTTGGCTGGTCCTTGGCTGATTCTTGGTTGGCCCTTGGCTGGTCCTTGGCTGGCCCTTGGCTGGGAAGGGCCATTTTGAATGGCTGCTAGTGTAAATTAACAGGAAGTGTAAAATGGAGTCCCTCAGGGTGGAAGACTCGGCCCACCTTTATTTTCTCTCTGTCCCTCCATCTCTCCCCCTTTAACTCCTCATTGTTCTCCTCACAGTGTGGCCTGTCAAACGCTTCGGATGCTGAACTCTCAGAGGTGAAAAAGAGTTTCCTGACCAATGAGGATATACACCCAGCTGAGAAGGTTCTGGTTTTCCCTGAGCAGAAATACAGTCGAATGGTGGTAATGACGACACAGGCAGCCAACGGAAAACAGTTCAATATCCTGTTCCTTCTGACAGGTCAGACACTAAACTCTCTGTAAAACTACTGTTTCCTTTGTTAATTTTGTAGAGCTTAATGTGGAATGAGGAAGTTTACTCCTTGTGTTTTTTTCCCCTCATTGGATAAACTAATGCGAAACGTCTAAAAGACGTTAGCAGTATCTTTTTATCCTGAACTTTTTCATGTCTTCTTTCAAACCAGAGTCTGGATTCCTCCACAAAGTAGTTTCCTTGGACCAGGGTCCCCGAGTCATTGAGGAGATTCAAGTCTTCAAGGAACCTCAGCAGGTCAAAAGCATGATAATCTCTTCCTCCAAGGTAAACATCAAAGCAAATCATCTAAATGTGAGAGAGGCTGCCGGTTCTGTCCATTCACAGTGTTGCTCTGGTTTGGCAGCGGGTTCTGTATGTGGGAACGTCTGAAGGAGTGACGGCCGTACCGGTGGCCCGGTGTTCGGTCTACAGAAGCTGCAGCCAGTGCCTCCTGGCCAGAGATCCTCTGTGTGGCTGGAGTCAGACCAGGAGAACCTGCACAGCTCTGGATGGCAGCAGTGCAGACATGTGAGTGAAAACCAACCGAAGGTTGGAATCCATCCATCATCCAACCAGAACTTCTCCATTTGGACTCAACTTTCACCAGGAGAGAGTTAATTTTGGCAAATGCAGAAGCAACCGGCATTTCGTGGCATTCCAGCAGTTTCAGGGTTTAAATTTATCATTAAGGAAAAATAGTAAAACAAGAATGAAAATTTTTGAGGTGAGGTTGACTGTTTAGGCCTAGGATAATGTAGTTTTTGCCTATTTTTATCTACTCAGAATTCAGAAGGTGGAGGGCGACATAGTTGGAACCGAATGTCAGCCATCCGATGAGCACGTGATGAAACGAGGTAAAGACGTCCTTTATTGTATATGAAACTTTTTAGGGCAAATTTCCCAACCAAATTTAGACCGATTTCCCGCTCCATGGTTTCCTCCTGCAGAAGTCGTTGTTCGGCTGAATGAGCTGGTGAAGCTGGACTGTCCCAAACCGTCAAACCTAGCCACACTGAGTTGGAGCTTCTCTGGAACCAAAGCTCTGCCATCGGAATTCCCTCAAATGAGAGCTGACGGCAGCCTCATGTTCTTTGCCTCCCCGACCAGATTTGGGGGGTACCGCTGCCAGGCAAAGGAGGATGGGCTCAGAGAGCTGGTCGTGATCTACACGGTCCGAGAGGCATACAGTCCACGCCATCTGCCCAAGCCAGTCACAGAGACGTTGGCATCACAGAGCCCAGGGGATGAGAACATCGGAACCGAAGAACCAACCGTTTCAGACGGACACAAGAATGAAGCAACTACAACCGATGGAGAAGGTTCTGAACCAAAGAACATCCATAAAGGAGATATAGAGGAGCGAGTGACTGTAGCTAAAGGCGAAACCTTCTCAAGAAAAACCCACTCCACTCAAGATGGTTCTGGATCGGAGGAGCCTGCCCCGACCTCCAGGACGGACAGCCGGTCCATGCTGAACCCCAGCCAGAGCACTCCAAACCAGAGGAGCTACTACAGCGAGCTGGTGGTGGTAACCTTCCTGCTGGTCGTCTGCCTCTTGGTCCTGGCTCTGGGCTTTCTCTGGATCTGGAAACAAAAGAAGGCTGTATCTAGAGGCAACGGGATGTTCAGCCCAGAGGACAAAGGCAGAACCAACACATGCATACAGGTGAGCGAGCTGACCACCCTGGAGGGCGGTCCGGATCAGACCATCACCCAGTGACCATGTTGGAGTCAGAGATGCCCACAGTCCTATGAAGCTCAGCCAACCTGGACCTCCTGCTCTGGGTCCCGTCCCGCTTTCTGTGGTTTATGTAGAATCTCACCCGTTTCCAAGCCTGCATCCAATGACTCGACATCGCCTTAAAACAACAAAATCAATTATTTCAGTTTCATTCTGAAGATTCATCAACTTTCAGATTTAATCAAATTATTTTAACTGAAATCAATTTGAAGACTTTAATTGAAATAGAGGAAGGAATGGACGCTTCTGACACTGCAACCTTGGAGGAACCTTTTTATTTCCCTGCTTCATCCTCATGAAGCCAAAGTTAGGATGGGAAACAGAACTTTTTTTCCCAGTCCTTCTTCTCTTCATCTGCAGAATTTCCTACAAATTTCCCTTAATGTTGTTTTAACCTTTTGAAAGGCGACTGACCCTTTTTCAGTCATTGTTTCCTTTATTGTTTTTACCTGAAGCTCATTTAACAAGTTTGTTTCTCACCTTTCGATGAATGTTTGGGGGAGGGGGGGTCTAGTTGGAGAGCTGGGTGATTGTGTGCTGTAGAGGCCGCTGGTTCCAAACCCAGACTGCAACTCTGGGTCCCTGAGCAGGACCCTTAACCCCAGGCGACTTAACGCAGAGGAAACATTCCCCTGCGTATCAATCTCTTTGCTATTTGCTCTGTACGAAGCTAAAGCAGAACCAGAACCTCGTTCTAACTTGTTTTTAGAAGACAGCAAAGATGCTCAGACCTGAAACTGATCATTAAATAAAAAATAAGAAGCAGAAGCACAAAAAATTAAAATGAGAGGCGAAAATATTATTAAAATTTTTATTTATAAGCTTAATGTCAACTTTTTTACGTTTTATTAAGAAGGGAAATTAGAAGAAAAAAGGGAAGAATTACTTTTCATTCACCTACAGTGATAAGTTTTTAAAAAACAACAGTTTTTTCCTCAGCTGATGCAGTTTATAGAACTGTTGATCTGCAGCAAGAAGGTTCTGGGTTCAATTCCTGGTCTTTCTGCATGGAGCTTTGCATGTTCTCCCCAGGAACATACGGCTTCTCTCCAGGTGCTCCAGCTTTGTCCCACTGTCCAAAAACTACAATTCAGTTTATTTTGGATCTCCAATTAATGACACGTCATCTCAAGTCACTTTATAGAGACAATTCAACTAGATCAGACTGTCAGATCGGTTCAAAGTTTTGTGTCTAAGGAAAACCAGCTGATTGCATCATTGACTCTTCAGCAATCCCTCACACTAAGCATGCTTGTAGCGACAGTGGAGAGGAAAAACTCCCTTTGAACAGGAAGAAACCTCCAGCAGAACCAGGCTCAGTGTGAGCGGCCATCTGCTGAGGCCCACTGGGGTTCAAGGAGACAGAAGCAGACATAGAAAAAGAAGCATAGATACAAAAGGCAACTGTTAGCCAGCTCCACAGGCGGCCCCGTCCAGGAAACACACAGCCAGGCAGACGAGCTCCGAGCCAGCTCCCATGCCAGAGGATGAAGAGAGCACATCCAGTTAGTCACAGTCAGAGAAACAGGACTACACTGGAAAACAGGCCAAGCTCCAACATCTAGAAACAAAGGTGTTGATGGCAGCAGCACAGCTGATATTTCTCTCCAGGATGGAGTCACAGCCAAACAGGAACAGACCAGATGAAGCTACTATGAGAAAAAGCAGAGAGAGCAGAACGTTAGAGATTGAACTAACAGATTCTGCAGAGTGGGAGAATAGAGACAGAATGAAGCAGAATGATGAAAAAGGGGTCCCTATGTCCTCCAGCAGTCTAAGCCTATAGCAGCAGAACTATAGAGACCTAAGACCATAACCTAAGTATTTTGAATGAGGTATAAGAAAGGTAGAGCTAAGAAGAAACTTCTATCCGGATTAAACTCCCACCCCCCCCCCCCCCCCCCCCCCCCACCCCCACCAACCACACACAGTAATATCAATCTGTCCCTGCTGTCCATCGCCTCTTGCCCATAGACTGCCAAAGACAGACAGCGGCCCCACTGCGACCCTATGGGACGAAATGGGAAAAGATTGATGGATTTTTATCCTTTGCTTCTTGCATGAGCAAATTTCTTTTTTTTCTGTATAATCCTGCTGCCTTACTTAGAATAAAATAAA